AAGACAGCCATTTTGGCCTCAAGGCAAAGGGACATGCAGAGAATGGCGAAATGGACGCAGGGTCGGGAAGGACTGTAGTGAGTTTGGGCCCAGGTATGTATTGGGCATCTGTATTATCATTAATTAACACTGGTCAATCAACATAATTGATTCACATGATGATGTGTGTATATATATATATATATATATATATATATTTTTCCCCACTTTGGGATGTTCCTGCCCATCCCCTGACAACCAACCAAGTCTACATCCATCCATTTGTCCATCCATTCACCTCCAAACCTCTTATCCCAGTGAGGGTTGAGGTCCCTCACAGGCTGAATTCTTGAACCCAAGGCAACGAGGCAGACACTGGATAGACAATGAAGAAAAAAGTGTGGATGCAGGTGTGGAACAGACCGCTAAAGAATCGAGAACTGGTGCATCGTTTGCCTGCTGCACACTGGACGGTGCAAAGAGTGGAAGGAGACTCGTTTACATGTTTATATTATGAGGGAAGTGTTGCTGCAGCAACCACAGAGAATGATGGCATTGGGAAGCTTTGGAAATACACTGCTGTGCCCAGCCTCAGAGAACGGCGACGGCCTTGTTAGCAGCCTGGCGCACACTGGTTCTGGGTAGCACTCCCAGGATAAGCAGTGCTAAATTCTGTGGCAGCGGTAGGTCAGTTACCCACAGCGGTAGGTGAATTACCCCAGAGTATTTGCTGAATGTGGAATCTTCTTAACGTTATGGGTTAGTCGTTCTTTTTTTAAAATTTTTTTTCAGTTTTGAAGCCATGAAGCTTGTTGCAGAACTAAAGAGGAATAGATTTTTGAAGTGAAACTGAATAACAGGCATGTGAATATCCACGTGCTTTTTTTTGTTTTTTTTTCCGGAGACAGGACTTTGTGTGCGGTCAGGACTGTCATATGCTACACATCTATGAGAGAGCATAACGTTACCAAACACTGTCTTCATGGTGACATAGCAAGGAGCGTGTTGCTTAGCAGAGATTGTGGTTGTCACCGGCCAGGGATCCATGTGACCTCAACAGCTTCGAAAACCTGTTCCTACGACTGTCTTGTGGAATTTTCCGCAAATTTAATAAGCTGTATCAGAAATGTGTGTGAGCTGCCCATGTTTACCCCAGCTTACAGAATCTCGTAGGGCACAGTATGGACAGTTACCTCTCTTCATCCAGCAAGTGCTGCAGTGAAGTACACACTGCAATTACACACTGCGGACGCCAGCTTTTACAGTTGGAAGAGGGCCAAAAGTACTATGCAGCATTTTTTTTTACCCATTTTTAAATACAATCATAAAAATGAGTCTAAAGAAGTTGGGGAGGTTTTGTTCACATGAGAACATGTTCCGCATGAGATCCTGTCCGTCCCATTCCACGTGCTGACGGCGGCTGAATTTTTCCCCAGTTGCGGCTGCATGGTTTTCTTCATGCATCCCACATCAGCAGCAAGTTCTGCTTTCGGTTCTTTTTTGGTGTGCACAGTAACTATTTAAGAAAAGGCACTCAAATCGACAAGATTCACTGTGAACGCGCGACCGTGTAGAGAGAAAAGTGACAAGCTGTTGTGTAAATAAGATAACATAAGGCTGTTTAGCTTGTTTAATAAAAGGACTCTGTGTAGACCTGTTCTATAGGAAAGGTAACCTTAAATGACCTCTGTTGTGATCTGGCGCTATATAGAAATTAAAATTAAATAAAATTAACTTGACCTTCAAAGGGGGTGGGAGGTGCCATTTGGGGGGGCGAGGCGCCCCCCTAATATAATGGTGGGGGAAATACTTGCGGACATCACTGTAGGTTCTATGAAGATATTGGCCTGCCGAAGAAATGGTCATGTTTCTGAGATTCATGTAGTTAGACATAAAAATGATGAACCATCCGTCTTCAGACCTCCTCTTCTGGTGAGCCCCAAGTGGCAGCGTACCAAAAAGGCCAGACCAGGCCCCTCCTTCCAAAGCTACAGAATTTCACTTGAATGGTTAGTTACTCTTTATTTATTCAGTGGAGCTCAATAACAAGGTAATTATGAAGCCCAATAGCCCACAGCCTTATGGTGATGCTTTATCTGGTATCAGTCTGATGTTATTGCCTGTCTAGTATCTGGCTGATACTAGTCCGTTGATTTTCAGCAGTGAGTCTTACTGCAGACAAACAGTTGGATCTGCTCTGTTTAAGAAACTATGGCCCTATGAAATCAGTTTTATATTTTCTCATCATTTTTCCCCCAATTCTTTTTTCCCATATTTTGATACGTTTCAGATCTTGAGTTTTTATTAGCTGCCGAACTGAGAAAATGAGACTCTAAGGAGGCAAACGCCGTGTAGTTTTCAGAGTCTGACACGGCCCACGGCCCACGGCTTCGTCTCTGTGGCAGTGGCATCACCAAGGTGGGCACCCCCTGCCCGTGGGCGCCCCCCTGTGCCCGACCGTACGAAATCCCGCGTAATGATTTTGTACTAATGTAACTTTGTCATTCATTAGAAAAATAAAAATGTCAGGTTTGCACATTTGAATTACAGTAGTGTACACACAGCCTAAGTGGCTAAATGAGTTTGCATTTGCATATTTCTGTGTGATTATAGTGAAAATCAGTCAGACACATGTAGGGCTGGGCGATATGAATACAAAAAGGGATATTAAATATATAACGTGTATGTATATATGTGTGTGTGTGTTTATGTGTGTCTTTATGTATAATATATATAATCCTACGAAGTGAGCTACATGTTTTAATTTTAATTCAAAGCCACATGTGAGATGTCACAAGCGGTTTTATTTATAAAGTGTACTGAAAACAAAATGCAAATACAGTGTTTCCTTCCCTGTTTTCATTACTGCAAACAAAAATAAATTATGCTTTGGGTCCAATAAAAAAGCTTCGACCTAAAACCCTTATACTAAACTCCACTACGTCTATCAACAGCATTTTTTAGTCAGTTTATGACATTGATCTTAAAACAGAAGGTGAATTTCTAAGAACAAAATAACTAAAATCTAAATCTATATTTGGCATATAGCTGTAAAAACAGAAGTCTGACACAGGTGTACGTGTGCTTACCTGAAAAGACACTCATTTTAAGTTTTCACATTTTGACTCAACAAAATACAAAATAAAATGTAAATTATGATATTTTTAATCTGTGACCCATTTGTCAGTGTGTTAAAACTAAATGAACCGAGTATCAGCGATTATTTTTAAAAATTGGGTGGGGGCACAATGGCTCATTTGTGGGGGTGTGGTCCATGACGCCAGCCCTGCATAGAATAGTATGTGATATAACTGTAAATTTGCTTGAATATATTATATTGTATAAATACCAGCAAAAAATTGTTGTGTAAAATCTTTCTATGTTGAATTGCAACACTATTTGTAGCGTGGCAGAAGCAGCTTTCCGGGAAGCCATTTTTGATTTTTCTTCTTTTCCTTTAAGTACTGCTTCGTTCTGGAAGAAGCCTTTGACATGGATACACAGATACTAATTACCACAATGTTATAGCTGAAAAACACCGGAAAAGTCAACGAAATCGGCAAAAGATCAGACAATGACGTGTGCTTATGCCCCATGCAGATGACGTCTGTGATTGGAAGCTTCCTTGTAATTGCATGATGGTGACCGATGTGACCAGAGGCTCCAGATGTAAATTAGCACAGAGTTTTAGCCCCGTAGTGGTGGGGATGACGGTAGGGTATCCCAGTGTTCGGTTAAGTCATCGATTTCCTTTAGCTGGGAAGTGACCCAGGTTACTGCAGTTCAAACGAGTCTTTATGTAAGACAGTATCCTTGCTCTCATTTGGCCAGATCTAGCTATGGCAGAATCCTCTGTATTAAAAAATCTCTGTCTGTGCCCACTTTCAGGGTACTTCACTCTGTGTGGAAAATTGCAAAATGTGAAAGAATTTATCTGTCATCAAAGTATCCGCGTAATTGCGCATTTATATGTAAATACCGTTTTCATACCCCTATTCCGTGATTCTGTCTGCATTTTCCACATCGCGGAAACCAATTATAAATACCACTGTTTGGATCCCACATAGAATTATTCTACTGTAAGTTTGTATGTCTTCTGTTATGTAACAAAACTCGATGCGTAGCCAGCAGAGTGAAAGACAGTACAAACAAATCCAGTCATAGTCTGGGGGACATTCAGTATGGGGGCTCCTGTGTGATATTGACACAAGAAAGTCAAAAAACATACAGGTCAGTACAGTGGATACCATGGCAGACAGAAGCCATAACCGTTTACTGTGTGGACCTGCAAGTTGGGTGTGATTTTAATATGGAATCTGGGCCTCTGGCTTATCCGGGTTTGTAAGGACAAGATTTCAGTTCCATTCATGGGATCACCCTACTGCCTTTTCTTTAGATTCTTAGTCTTTGGACTTTATCGTTCACCAGCCAAGAATGCTCATCCACACAAATACTTTCTAGCAACTCCGACTTGTAGCAAAATCATAGTCTCCCATAGTTCCCAACCAGCTGCATATGCAAGTCCCCCACCCCGGAAGAAGAAATCAATATGAGATTTAGGTTTCATTTAGGTTTGGGGGTATAATTTAAGATTTTTTTTTTGCCTGTCTGAATACTTGATAAAATGTGAAATTAACCGCTGATATCAGTAGGCTCTACCCAGAGACTGATAACCGGAAGCAAAAGCTTTTCTGCTCTGTCCAAAAATATCCAGGGTTATATGAGATGCAGTTGTGCAGAATCTGCCCTCGGCTAATAATAGCTGCTTCCTCTACTGCCCTAGCAACACCTGAAACCTGAAGTGTGAATCAACAGAGTAGTTGACTTTCTACTGTCAACATTGGATGGTGCCAAGGTAAGGGGAGGTGTGTGTCACCATACCCCTTCCTCACAGTTACCCGGTTACCTGCCATCCTACCCCAACTTTCCTGGCACATAGGAACCTTCTGCAGCTGTTCAGAAATTAAAATAAACACAAAATATCTCTCGCTGCACAACAAGTCATGAGGAACGTCACTCAGAAAGCAAAAGCACTAAAGGCAGCTCATACTGAAGCAGGAGTCGCTTTCCAGGCTGCACTGTCACTTTTACATTATTTTTTTTTGCATGGACTCTGAGCTTTATGAAGCTCTTGAGGCTCATTTCGCATCTGTACCCGTGAATACGAGAGCTGACGGTGTGATTTGCGCGCTTTACTTTGCTCCACGTCTCTGCAGTGCGGAGCTCTTCAAATCAAAATACTGTTGCCTCACATTCGGTGGTATGAGGATTTCCGCAACCATAGGAATGCCAAGAGCGTTCCCTGTGCTTTAAGGCATGTGAGGAATGCATCTGACCAGCCCCAAGGGGCTGAAATCGAAACCCCCTGAGATATGGATGCATGGTCTGAATTTTGCCGAGTGAGACTGACCTGAGCTTTGAATTGCTACAACTGAGAACATCTGGCTGACATTCAGGATTGCAGCAGTGACTCGGAAGGGGCTTATAAGGCCCCGAATGAGCTGGGATTTTATTTTCGGGCTGCTTCTCAGGACCCTATGAGACGCTCATCCCCTGGACCTGCTGCACTGTCTTGTATGGACAGAGAAAGAATTTTGTCTCTGTGGGGTAAGTGGAACGCCTACCTGTAGAGTCTGCTGTCTTGGCCTCTGGAGTTGTCCCTCGCTACTGCATTTAACTGCATCGTTAGATGAACAAAGCCATTGCAGAGGCTGCCGTGCAAGCTTCAGCCCTGACACTGCCTTTCACCAGTGAGCTCATCAGCTTTGGAACATCTGCACTGTTTCTAATACCACTTCACTGCCTGGTCACTGCTGGAGATCCAGGCTCATCCCGGTACCTTTTTTTAATTCAGTAAGTCCCTTTATTGGCTTTTTTGCTTCGTAACTCGGCCAATTCTTTGGTCTTCAGGAGTTTGTCATGCTTTTAGTTGTTGCTGGCTAAGTAAACAATTTTTTCCCCATTTTTTAGATATGCTGAGTTGTGGATTTAGCTGTTTGGAGTGTAAACTGAAAGATGCAAATGTCCAGAAATGCCTTAAATTTTTGTTCTCATTCGTGTTTTTACACTTTGCTTGAATATGTGACAAATGTAGGAATTAGAATCTGTTGTGAAATGGTGCTGTGCCCTGCTGGTCCATTCTAAGGCTGGAAGACCACATTTCGGCTGGGACCAGAGGCTGTGGGTAATGGGCCTTCATGGCTAATTTCTCCTCTGTATGAAGGTTCTCTTATCTGCTCCAGGACGGAAGTGAAATTACATTCCCTGCTGATAGTCTGAGCATTTTTGGGATGCCCTGTTTGCAGACAGTAGCTTACAATTTGGTCCATCGGGGCCAATCGTATTTGATAGCTTTTTTGTTCGAGTTAAAGGACAAAGTGGACAAAAGCCTGGATGCAGATGAATAGGGAAGAAGAGCTTTCCTTGTATATGTGGAAGGCAGTTCAGCTGTTAGCGTTAGCATTAGCATTTGTGAACGATCGATACTGCAGCCCTCTATGTGAGCCGCACGGTGGATCAGTGGGTAGCATTCTCTGCTCACACATGCGGGGGACATCACAATGTGAATAAAAACCTGTTGTTTTGACGCTGTGGGGACCATTTTTCAGGTCCCCACAAAGATCTGTGAAAGGAATCATAAAACTGAAAATGCCAGAAGTCTCGTATTTAGTTTGGTTACTTATGGATAAGGTTGTCATGTTGAGATTAGAGTTTTACCCATAGAAGTGAATGGAGAGTCCCCACAAAGATGTAATTACAAACCTGTGTGTGTATCCTCTGATAGGCAGGCATCCTATCCATGTTCTACTCCTGTCCTGTGCCCAGTGCAGCCTGGGATATGATTTTTATTTAGCTTTGTTTTTTTTGGTGGAATCTGTAGCTGTTTGCGAAGAGGAATCGTACCAAACTAAAGCCAAGCAGCTAACAGGCAGCTATGGTTTCATTTCATTTTCCTAAAATCTGAATTGTCACTTGAATTAAAGTTCATGGCTACGTTTCCTGGAGTTCCTTGGTTCGGGGGGGTAGAGATCTCACCGGAAACCATAGTCCGGCTCTGCCCCAGAGCCCTTTCTGGCTGTGTGAGGATTTGATTTGTGCTGTTGTCTCTCCCTCTGGCCCTGGATAGACGTATGTGATGGCCGTACACAACAGCAATGACGCTTTGGAAAATCGGCAGATCATCAGTGCCATGCCTCGTCCGTTAGGCTGCTCCAGTGACGCGTCATTACTCTGGCCACCGTCTGCTGCTTTAAAGCTCCGCATATTTTGCTCCTGTGCACTTTCATATCCTCAAATATTGTTAGTTATCAGCTCTGAGTATTGAGTCTTTTGGAGTATTGCTAAGCTAATATGTGATTGTGTAGCCTTGGGGCCTCTTCACAAATTGCCAATCGAACGGGAAACCGAAATAGCAAGAAGTGACGCTGGCCTCCCCATCAGCCGTTCCTCAGATCTTCATGCTTGCGTTTCTTCATGTTCTGCCCCCCCCCCCAGCTCTGTCTTGCCCCTTGGGTGATGTGCATCTTTCTCCCACACACTCCACTCCATCTCTTCCATCAGAATGAATGCACACCTTTTTTTCCTGCAGTCTTCACAGTGAGAGGTTGTCTGCCACGGTCCCTCCCTTCCCTGCCCTGCGTGATCTACATGCCAGCTGTGTGGTTCACAGGGAGTCACCATTGTTTTGGAGGCTGTTACAATTAACACAGTCAAAGACAGTGTAATTAATTGTAAAATTTTGATTTATTTCTTAGAAGAAAGGCTATACTTCTGAAATAGGAAACTGTCATCTGACACCTGTCTTAACAATGTTTTATGACTAATTTGGTCTTTAAATTATTTTTATACTATCCTTTTCAGCTTCTTGTCTAGTACAGGATCACGATGTGCTTGGAGCCTGTCCCAGGCATTACAGGACAGGAGGCAGGCCACACCGAGTTTAGGATGCCAGTGCACTGCAGGGCAGACACTCAGAATCGCGCCCTCACAAACACCAGTGCACACTCAGAATCGCGCCCTCACAGACACCAGTGCACACTCAGAATCGCGCCCTCACAGACACCAGTGCACACTCAGAATCGCGCCCTCACAGACACCAGTGCACACTCAGAATCGCGCCCTCACAGACACCAGTGCACACTCAGAAACGCGCCCTCACAGACACCAGTGCACACTCAGAATCGCGCCCTCACTGACACCTGTGCTCATAAACCACATATTGGAAATTGACTGATACAGAAGGCTATTTTGAAATACTGTTGTCTTAAAATTTGTCATCAGTATCTCTGTAAGGCAATTTGAGCATACTGAATGGCACCATTGATCTTAATATAGGAGATTTGCAGGGGATTTTTTTTGCCTTATCTTCGAAATTGAATGTCTATAAGGCGTCTTCATATGAAGTCATGCCCCTAGCGTCTCGGCTAGTGGTTGCTGTGGATTTTTTTGATTATCAGGCTGATCATCTGTAGGAATTCCTTTGCCCACATGTCTGTCTCTGTGAGCAGACTCTGCTCTGCCTGGGATGTATACATTTTTCCTTTTTAGTCCTTTGTGTTTTGTGCTGTTCATTTTATATATGCATCTTTCTTTTTTAAAAAAGCCAAAAGCTTGCCTTGCGTTTTCTACTTTTCTTTAGCACTGATGATGTGTACAATCTACTTTGGCTGTCGTTTGCGGTGGAAGATGGAGTGTCGAGCAGTAGCCTGAGAGATGCTCATTATATCTCCAAGGGAAAATTCAATTTTCTTTCTGAAGAATAGACAAAAAATGAGTAATTCGGTGCTCTAAAAAATGAAAAAGCACTGTGTAAAAGCATCAGAGTAAATATGTTATTAGTGTTGAGCACATTTAAGCAGCATCTTTTGGGTTTGCGAGACTGTGGTTCTTTCATAGTGTTTATCCATTATGCTTTTACCTTATTTCATTTTGATCATCACATGTGAGTTTTTCATGTAGTTCCCTGAAGTATGAATTTTCCCTCAGACTCTGATTCCTGGACCTATTGACAAAGTGTGGCTGCAGACTAATGTCACCACGGTCCGCTCCTCTGGTTACTGTGATTTTCTTCATTTTGGGGGGAGGGGGGCATGTTGGAGCCAACCAGCCACCCGTAAGGAAGCGAGTGCAGGGAAGCATTTACCGGCAGAGATGTGGGCCGTGCAGGTCGCCCACGTAGATTTTTATCCAGCACTGTTTACTGGTCTGCTCTCCGCTATAGCTAGTGAGCTTTGAACATGAAGAGGAAAAAAAAAGATGTTGTTTCTGATGTTTGCGGAAGTACATAGGAAATCTTCCATTTTCGCATGCAACATCAACAGCTCCTCTTGAGGCATACAGGTGTAGACACACACACACACACACAGTTGAGACTAAAGCTTAGGGTCAGAGGGTTTTGGGGTGGAGGGGGTTTAAGGGCCTTGCTCAAGGACCCTTACATGCGAGTATTCTGCTGCGAATGGGATTCAAACCGGTGACCTTCCGATCACCAGCACATAGGCCTTACCTGCTCCACATGCCACTGCCAAAATCCTTCCTAGCTCTATGAAACCACTCAAAAGAAGTGTACTTCTGTGCATGTAGGAATGGAAAGGCCAGTGCAGGTCCCTGGTGCATCTTTCTGCAAAGCACAAGACCCCCAGGGCGGAGAGTCGGGCAGAGTTCAAACCCAAACTGTAGACAGTGCCCTAGTAAGCTGGTATTTTGTCTGTACATCTGATTTGGCATAATTTTCCTCCTGGTGCTTCCTCTGTTCCCGCAAAGGGTCTGTCTCATTATCTCCACCACATGGCCGTGAAAAGCTACAGTAGTCGCACAGTTGACGTAGAGACTCGCCAGCTTCCTCCCGCTCAGCATAAAGGGAGCGCGTCCTGCCATCCGGTTATCAAATCGAAGACCTCGTTCGCCACTGCAGGCTAGGGAGCGATTCGTGTAGCAATATCCACGTGGCTTTGCAAACCTTGCCCAAGGTTTTTTTTAAATAGAAATATTACTTTAATTCTACGTACGATGTCTATGTAGGTACTATAATGACATCTGGGGAATTTCCAGTCGAGTTGTGCGTTTATGTACATACCGTGGCATCGTGACTAAATAGGTACACGCTCGTATCTGAGAGCGTGTCATTTATACTGGAATAAATTTGCCTGCATTTTGTTTGTGTGCACTCCTCCGGGGCCTGGCTAAACCCCGATGCTGCAGCCCTGCTCGTCTGATTTCACCCATAGCTGTCCGTGCGTTTCGGAGCCTCCTGCTATTGTACTGGCTTCCTCATCAATGAGCCGGGTCCGATTTCATACCGAATTCTTTAGAAATCCTTAGGAAATCTCAGGATCAGCCGGTAGAACTTTGATGTTTGCAATGCAGGATCTTTCTGTAGCATCTTTGAAACGCATGAGGCGTCTACCTCCATATATGAGGGGCGGTCTCAGCGAGAGGTCTGTCCGTCTGTTTGCCGCGAGGCGTCACTACGGGGCTTCGAGTAATGGGTGGGGACTCCTGTAGGTCACCGTGTGGGTGCCTGGCTGTAAACCAGATGCGTATTTATACCTGGGAACTTCCCAAACGTGTGGGTGAGAGAACTTTGCAGGTCATGTCAATGGATAAACCGCAGTCTTCTGCTCACTCTTCCCCATATTTCCGCCAGGTTAGAGTAAATATTTGTGGTCAGCGTTTGTGGTAAACATTCTGGGCATTTTTCACCCGCAGTTCTCCCCCCCCCCTCCAGCCTTCCAGATAACCTTGGCTGGCTAGAGAAGTACTTTTTGTTTTTATGCAAGTACGGACAAACATGTGCCTGGTTTATGCTTGCAGAACCGACCCGCGCTCTCACAGGCTGGAAGGAATCACCTGCCTGCTCAGATTTCAGGTGCAGCTCTGCTGTGAGAATGCCATCGATTATGTGGGGGCTCTTCACGCAATTGGTGTCTGGTGTAACCAGCTTCCCCTTTTCCATTTTTCTTCCCAGTATTTGACTTCTCCAATTCGGTGTTGTGGACGCTGCATGTCTTTGCTGCTTTCGTTTCTGTAACTGCTGCCCTTCCTGCATGTTAAGTGATTCTTAAGAGACGGAGATGATTTGGTTTCCTGTTTCCTTTTGGCCCGACACCCTGACCAGTTCAGCACTCGCCGATCGTTCATTCCAGTGGCCCAGGGAAAGATCGATCGCAAACAGGGAGGCGAGCTTTGTGGGGTGGCTGGCGCTCCGGTGAGTCGGCCCCCTGCCCCATCCCCCACTCTGGGCTTGCCGCAGGCTTTCTTCAGCGGGGTGACATCATCGCGTTCCCATAGCACCTAGCAGCCTGCCCCCACTTGCACCAGAAGAAGAATGAAACAGCCACGAGAGTGACTGTAAACCTAAACCATCCCCCCCTCCCCCCCAACCCCAAACGATGAGGTTGCATTTTCAGCCACACCTTCGATGGGAACATGCGTCTGCCGCAGCATCCTGTTTTGTGTCCTCACCATAGCGATGACCTTTGAACCTGGTGGAGGTGACTAGCTTTAGCCTTATTTTTCGTTTATCGTGATTTAACTCCTCGATTACCTCCTCATTAAACACTCTCCCGTTCTCCCTAGTGCCAAATTCTTCCGATGGGGTCAGAGAAATAACCTGCGTCCTCTTATTTTGCTATTAAATATCACCTCCGCATGCAAATTTCAGTCTAAAACTAGATGTATTTCATTTCATTTTCCACTGGATGTGGGCTGCTTGTCCTTGTATCGATCTGAGTCTGCCTGGTTTCCGGACAGGATGTAAATCTGTCTCCCGTCTGAAAAAGCTGGAATCACTAAGCTCTCGTGTAGCTTTACCTTCGGCCTGAAGCGTCACTGTTACCTTTCAGGTTGTCTCATGCCGAGGGCTGCTATCATGGCTTAAGGTGTGCATACGGTGTACATCGGTCCCTAGTCCTCCACTGCCCCCTCTCCAGGTTAAGCATCTCCCTGGAGACCAAACAGGTCATGTTCTTTCTGGGCTCAATCCGGCAGCCATTAAGCTGCAGAGAATCCGCCAGCTACCGCCTGTTAGCCACGTGTTTATTGAACATTTTATAATCCGGAAAGGACGGGGACAAGTCTGAGACCCCTGTGTGTCTAAACCAACTTGTGGGAGTTTGCAGAACTTTCTTACGGTTAATTAACAGAGTCTGAGATTATAATGGAGCCCTGAATCTCTTTAAAGTGTGACGTTTGGTGCTGCTCCTGCGTTAGGGCCGGCCCCCGTCAGGTCACTCCCTTTCCTCAGCTCCTCCCCCACGGGGCCCTCCTTTACGCAGCCCGGGCGAGGCAGAGGGTTAATCATCCTTCCTAACCGCAGAGCCGCTGCAGCTGACCTTGATGCTTGCCCATTTCAGGCACTGTGCTGTGCATCAGCTGGAAAACCACCTTGGGGTTTTTTCTCCTTTAAGTCCAATTAAAAGCTTACATCAGACGGTTCCTCAGAAATATTGTTTTTTTCTTTGCCGGCTTGTGAGACCCTCCTCCCCACAGCATTGTGTTCCCAGCACATTTTGCTGCACTGCTGCAGATACTCACTCTGTCCGTTCGTGTCTGTAGGAAATACAGCCAGAAGTTGTGGGTCTTAATGTGGGGAGGTTGATCTATTTCCCCCGGCTTTTCTCGTGCACTGTGCCCCCCCACCCCCCCTGTGTGGTGGCAGGTGTCTCAGGCTGTGCTGCGTTCTGTGTAGGCGGAAAGCCCTCCTGTCCTGCAGGGCTCATTTGTCCCACGCTTGTTTGTTCAGCAGTGTGTATGGTTTTTACCTCCTGGGGGGCCACCACAGACACAGTCAGAGTTAGAGGAAGAGCTGCTAGCGTGTGAGTGTGTGTCGGTACCTCGGAGCTGGTTATTTTCCGTACCTGAACCGTCAGCATCAATGTTTGCCCTGAAAGCACCGTTAGACTTGGACAGCGTCTAATTTTTCATACCGCCATTCTGTTTTTAAAAAAACAAAGCTATTCCAGTATTTTAGAAATCTTGGCGATTAAAATTCATTGTGCATGGAAGGTCCCTCACTATATACCGCAGTACACCCAAAATACCATGGTTATACCATAGTATCGCCCAAGCTTGTGTGCCATTTTATTTAGGAAAAGGCTCGAATCTAGCCCCCCCCCCCCCCCCCAGCATTCAGGCTTTGTGATACCAGCCATGTTCCGAAGGTCGATTACAGCGGCATGTGGAGGACCGATGGCTCCCCCCAAGCGGCTGCTTTTAAGCTCTCCTTCCTTTTTCCTTTTCTTTACGCCTCTCCAGTCAGCTGTGCTTTTCCCAGGACGATGGGAGGCTCGCTGTGTAATGTCGTTCGGATGCAGCCCTGGACCGGTCCCCACTCCTCCAGCTTTTCCCGGCTTATTGAGTCATCAACGCACTTATCATGCACGCCACAAGCCAGTGTGGGGGTCCTCGTCCTGGAGGTCTCTGATTTAAACGCCTCTGTTGCCCTTTATGTGTCTCTCAAACAGAACGTTTGGAAATAGACAGCAATTCTTAAAATTCACTTACCGGCTTTAGATCCCCTTTTGTTTACAGTCTCAGCCAAGCAGCCTCAGGATCTGATATGTGACGTGTCTTACTGCATCTGACCGGAATGACCCCTTAACTGCGTTTGCTTGGCGGAGGGTTAACAGACATCGATGTGACAGCTCTGTGTTCCTCTGCAGGAACCTGGAATGCCTGCCTGCCTTAAATGCTGAAAATAATGCAGAAGACATTCACAAATAACTCAGTGTGTTTGTGGAACAGGTTGTGCCTTTGGCCTCTTATTGCTTTTAGAGTTGACTGCTGCTCATGAAAAGCGAAGTTTACAATGATCAATTCCGAACGCACATATTTGAGGGTTTTTTGCATTTTTGGACCCGAACACTTAAGCACTTGGTTAATTTCCCTCAAGCTGGATTAGAGCCTTTAAGTGTCCTACTTGGGCACTTCTGACCTGCACACAGTGCACCAGCCAGCCTCTTAAGTGAATAACATTCCCTTAAAAAGGTTCTTTTTCTCAGTAAGGTCGATGTCAGGCCGCAGTGATGCAGGCTCTCTCTCGAGGGCGTGTGCCGGCCCAGTCTGTGAGTAATTTGGCCTGTAGTCTGAAATGACCTCACTGCACATGCAGCACTTGTTGTTCAGCCTGTGCCTTTCTGCCACAGGCGAGTCTCTGCCCCCTTAAGGCCGGAATGGGAAGTGCACCATGATGTCAGGATGCCTCCCGATCGTGCCACCCGGAACCGGGTCGCTGTTGGGCAGAGGTTCACATCTTGCATTGCGGCGGACTGACCCAGTCAATCCAGTACCGCCTCCTAAATGGGGACACTGGGACGATCAGTATCTGACTATTCACATTGACATTTAAACTTTCACACATTTACTCCATCACATGCATAAGAAGTTGGAAGCCTTCCCATAAGCACTGCAGCCGGCAGAGGTGGCAGTGAACTGGCAGTGTGGGCTCACGCTTCATTCATTCCAGTGTGGCGATGGGAAAGGCTCCTCCTGAGCTTAAGGTCAGCAGATGGTGGGTGGATGCTGGCCCGTCTTTACAGACACTGCTCTTCTCCTCGTATCGTCCATCCTGCTCGAATTGCAGAGTCACAGCTGCCTAAGGCTGAGCCCTGTCCATGTGTCGCGTGGATGGGATGTGGATTAAATGCCACTTTTCACTCTGCCTGAATGATCGTTTCTGTAGCGGAAGTCGCGGTTCTCCTCTTTTGTGTGTTTGTCCTCTTTCTCGTTGCTCACCATCACGTCACAATTCCATCCCCCAAACATGATGCTCCCACTCCCCCCCCACCCCGTCCCATTGAGCTGACGTTTCCGACTACAGAACCCTTTGAGCGCTGTCCCAGATATGTGTTCCGTGTCGGGTTTTTATTTTCCGACAGCCCTCCCCAGTGCGGGGTCACAGTGGGCCTGGTGTCTGTCCCACTCTGGATGGGACGCCAGTCTATCAAAGGCCACAGTCATGGGCTCACATTTCTGTCAGTCTAGCGTTATCTACTAAGCAAAAGTGCCTCTCTTTTGGGTCGTCGGAGGAAACCTGAATATCTAGAAGGGAGAATGTGCAAACACAGGACACTATGCTCAAAATGGGAATGAACTCACAACCCTTTGCTACAAAGGCATGGTGTGTATGCTGATGATGATGATGATGATGGTATTAATATTGGCATGCAACCGGCAGTAATTGATGAAGGTTGGGTAGTATCAATGAATCACAAGGTCCCTGTGTAGCTGCCTTGCACAAATGGTTCGTTAGTTTGACCAAGGCTCTCTCGCCCCCCCCAGACTCCAACCGCTCCCATCTTTCCTCCTTCACCATGAAGCTGATGGACAAGTTCCACTCTCCCAAGATTAAGAGGACGCCGTCGAAGAAGGGGAAGCAGCCGGAAGCGGCGGTGAAGGCAGCGGAGAAGCCGGCTAATAAGGTGGGGGCTCTGGGGATGGGACTCTCCCACGTCCCGCGCGGCGTTCCCGGCCTGCCCGCGTTCCCACTGCGCGCCTGTTTGTTTGCTTTCGCCTTTTTTGTGTGTGATTGTTTCCCTTCCTCGTTTCCTTTGGCCCATTGTCTGCCTGTTCTTCTGTTTTATGTTTTCTGTCTTTTCCCCACGTCAGTCAGCAGTGGCCGCAGAGAGCTTCCTACTGCCTCAGCAAGTAGCCCCCCCCCCTGTCATCGATGTCTGTGTCTGGGGGTTCAATGCCACTGGCCGTCACATGCCTAATCCCCACTGCCCCGGTTCGAGCCTCTGTTTTGGCAGAATAGTCGCATCCCCGTTGAGTCCTTGACCCGCTGAAATGCTCAGGGGTGTCAGACAAATGGCCGACCCTGAGCTCGGACCCGGGCTTCCCTCTCACCGTCCTGACCCCCATCGCTGACCTCTGCCCGATATCAGCCATCTGCCTTATGCTACCTCTCATTTCTATGATAAAACTTCATTGTCATTGTAGTTCTGCAATGAGACTTTGTTTGGTGGCAGCAATGGAGAATATAAAATACACAATACATTTACAAGTAGACAAAAATAACAAGTGGAATACAAGACAAGGTAAAAAAAGAAAAAGCAGTGCATTGGTAATGGGTATTGCACGCATCATGGTAATCATATTGCACACATTTTAGTAACTGTATTTATGAAATGTAAGCAGGTTTGCAGTGTAAACGGGTATTGCACACATTATAGATGCTGTTATACAGGAGAATTATTCAACATAATTATGTATAATAAGTAATTGCCTGTGTCATACTAACAAATTAGTTATTTTTCTAATGCTTCCTTGCGTAAACGTGCTGTTATGAACATTATTTTGCCTGAAATCCCAGGTGGGCCCCAGCACACTAGTTTACTTCTCCATAGTATCAGTCATCCCCACTCAGACTTATGCGCTGCGATCTTCTGCTTCTGCTGCTCTATAGAAGGTCAGCCGGCTAGAGGAGAATGAGAAGGAGGTGGTCAGCGCCCTGCGCTACTTCAAGACCATCGTCGACAAGATGGCGGTGGACAAAAAGGTCCTGGAGATGCTGCCGGGCTCTGCCAGCAAAGTGCTGGAGGCCATCTTGCCGCTGGTCCAGGTGGAACCAAGGATCCAGCACAGGTGAGCGGTTCCGTGGCGCGGATGCTCAGCGGCTGCTGTTCGAGGTCCGCAGAGCCCCGATACCGCGCAGTTAGCTTCAGAGATCCTCCTTCTTATCATTGAGTTGTTCAGCATTCTAACGTATAAACGGATACCAGTTCTGTTTTTGTGTCACGTTATGTGCTCGAAAACAAACGGAACAAAGAGAGATTCCTCAGTGGTTTGACCTTCCGTCTGCCCGGATCTGTGCGGTTTGCAGGGCTGCCCAAACAATGCCAGGGTTAGGAGGTGTATCACTACGCGACAAACAGACAATGGAAGGAAATGTGTTTAAATTTATGAACGAACTGAAAACGAAAAGTATCTTTCATGGTTTAACAGAGTTAAAGCGGCACTTCCTTTATGAATGTCACTTACATGTATATTTAATATTCTTCAAACAATATACTCTAGGGTTAGAAGGAAAATTAATCCTTTTGGTGATGTTTTTGTTACCGACGTGTGATTTGTAGACATTTTTCCCCACAATGAAGTTCACTTTTTATCTTTATGCTGCATAAAGGGATAATTGAGCCCTAAAGCTCAGATTAATATAATCCTTAACTTCCCTGTCTGAAAATTAGTCTAAATGATGGCTGCTGAGGTGCACTTCCCCCTGGGCCTATTGTTCGCCCCTTCCTCTTGCGTGGAGAGTCTCTCTGGTGCCCCAGCATCTGTGGCAGCAGGGGGGATGGGGGGGGGGGGCGAGCGACCGCCTGGGACAGCCTGGCCCCGCCTCTCTCAAACCCCACTCCTCAGTCACAGCACACAGTCCAGGCACATGGAAGAATCCAGCCTGGAATTCTCTGTGACCCCCCAGTGGGCACGGGTGGGCCTGCTGCACCCAATGACGAGCTTGACCCACCCCTAGGCTGGGCAAATACCCCTCAGTCACAGGATTCTTTTTGATCCACCCCCCAGCTGCCCCACCCTATGTCAGGGCCCCTCCCACTCCCTGAGCAGCAAATACAGACAGTTTACTCAATTATTAATCACTTTTATTATATTTTAATTTTGATGTTTAGAGTTAAGATACTGAGCCTTTGCCCAGTTCCCACTGTAAAGATTTTTATCTTGTTAATCTTCCTGAATGCAGGACACAGGTGGATAACACAGTATATCTGTACAGTGAGTCTACATTAGCCTTTGGGTAAACAGTTATAAGCATCCATTTGATGTTCTTTAATTAAGAGAGTTTGTAAATGGCTGTAATGTACCAATAATCGTACCATCCTGTGCGAGGGCTGATTACTCACTTTTATTCAAGGCAGTACCTTGCTGCCACCTGAGCCTTCTCCTCGCTATGACACTGCCAGTTGCGTCACTGTTATCCAGGAGCTGAGTAATCGTCCATGCGGGATGTCTGGGTCGACGCATCGCCTTCCCGTGTTCAGGACAGGCCTCTCCGGAATAGCAGGATGTCTGAAATCTCCATGGCATTCTTAAGATATATGTGCCGAATGTTTGGTATCTCAGGACTTTGGTATCAGTCCTGCTGAAAAAGGAGAATTATCCTTGCTGGCAGCCTGTGCAGTTACTCCTCTGCCTTCCCAAGGAGACGGCAATTATTCTGGATTTTTCTGATTTCTAATTTCAGATTAATCTCATCTATTCCAATTAATTATTCAGATTTACATCCTTCCCCCCTGCAGTGGTATTGATTAATGGAGTCTGTGTGATGCGTTACTTTGTGCTGTCAGTCGGAACCATCTAGATGAGCCTAGGAGACCCCTTGGGCGGGGTATGGGGGGGGGGGGGGTGTTGACAATCATGAGGACCTCCTGACGTGTCACCAACCAAGATCCCCTTTCCCTCCTTTTCAGCTCGGCCGTGACCTCCTGCCTCAACCGTGTGTACCAGAGCTTGGCCAACCTCATCCGCTGGTCCGACCAGGTCATGTTGGAGGGCGTCAACCAGGAGGACAAGGAAGCCATTAGCACAGTTACCACTGTCATTAAAGCAGTGCTGGATGGGGTCAAGGTAGCCTGAAGATGTACTTCCTGTCTGAACGGTCTGAACTGCATTTGGTGCTAAAGATCAGCACTTGGGGGGGGGGGGGGGTGCATGTGACTGCATGGAGATCCTTTGCGGTATAATATGATGGCATTTCTAACGCAGCACAGCAATAGCCGGTTTCATCTCTGTAAGGAGATCTTGGAATGTGGTTTGGGTCTTTGACTCCTTGGACATTTTTTGCCCGTATAGGAGCTGGTGAAGCTGACCATAGAGAAGCAGGAGCAGCCCTCCCCAGCGTCCCCCGTCAAGCCGGCGCCGCCCGTCACCGTGTCGGAGAGGTGAGCATCCTGCAAACCGCCGCTGGACAAGTGCTGACATGCTGCCTTCTATTCAGCTCCTGACAAAACGGGTCCTTGATGTTGGGGAACAGCTTCGTGCTGAAATTCTGGCCGGTCCTCCGTAAAACAGTTGGCCGCCCTCCCCATTCCTCAACTGACCCCCCTGACCTTTCACCCATGACCCTCTAATAGCACCCCAGAGCTGCCCCTTAACGACCGGGAGAAGGAAATCCTGACCAAGACGGCAGCTGTGACGCAGCCCATGGAGACCCTGGCGGACGAGGCTGACGAGGAGGTGGCCCCCCCCAAGCCTCCTCTGCCTGGGCTGAAGGTTCCAGACCACAGGTGAGGATGCATGTGGTGGTTGTGGGGGGGGGTGGTGAATAGGGTTTGTCCTGTAATCTTAATGGGCTGCGGGGTTCGAAGGTCCCCGTAGGAACTTTTATTGCCTCTGTTGTTGATGCCGACTGATAAGATGGCTGTGCTCATGTTAAAAGGCCTCTCTGGTATTTCGAAGCGTATTCTGGTCTGTGTCGTGCCACGCCCCACCGAGGCCAGGGCAGGCTAAAGAAGGACGCTTCCGGAAATGCAGAAGTAGGTTTGGCGGAGGCTGAATTGCAGAAGTGCGGTCCAGGCTCCGCCCCTTTCCAGAAAGCCTTCGTCGTGTGGGCCCCTTATCAGATTCAGTGAGAGAGAGAGAGAGAGAGAGAGAGAGACAGCATGGGTATCTGCAACGGCAAGGCGGCGGAAAAAGCGGCAGAGATGTGCGCGGAATGTGCCGGCCGACTGGCGTGCTGTGATCTGCTCTGACGCGCATTACATGAGTCACAGGACGATAAGACTTCAAACGGCACTTTTGTGAATGGCTGTTTAGTCACTGTGCAGTCAGGGAAAAAAAGAGCTGCTTTTAATGACATCAATCAGTCGGTCAAATCATTTTTTTGTTTGTTTGCTTTGCTTACATTTCCATCTCTATTCCAACAGCTACACATTTCGACAGAAGTCGACATAAAGTAGCGTTTCTGTGATTGTTGTCATTCATACACTCTGTCAGGGTTCCCCAATTCCAGTCCTGGGTTGCCAGTCTGGAACACAGTTTACAGATTTCCGCCTTATTCAGCTCACCAGCTAGTTAGCAGGTATAGCAGAGAAATCTGCAAACTGTGTCACAGACTGGCAACCCAGGACTGGAATTAGGGAACCCAGGTCTAAGTGCTGGAGTGACAGACGGTATATGTGTTGTGTGACCCGTGACGTGTAAAACCTTCACGCTCAACAGCATCTCCTTCATCCTGTCTGAGTGCGGATGGCGACGGCTTTTCCGATATGGGAACTCTTCTTCTCAGCTGGCATTGTTATTTGCTGAAATGATGACGACTGTTATTACTGTGAATGTCATTCTGTCCCTTGCTTCCGCTGTCCGTTAGGCCGGCAGAGGCGCGCGCTTGTGGCATCTCCCTCGCCAAGGGTAACTTAAATAACGTTCCCAGCTGCGGTGAACTCTCTGCGATTCCTGCAGGGTGGCCCTGTGTGAGCCCAACAAAGAGGTTTTGAAAGTTTGATTTAGTTTAGGTTTGGTTGTCTGTAACACGAAAGTGAAAGTGTATGAGCTGTTACTGCAGTGTAAAGAATGTGGGGGGTGCTATTATTTTTTTTTCTTTTTCTAAATGTGTCCTGTCCGGCAGCTTTCGCAAGCAGAATAATGGTCTGAATGCACTGCTGTGTCAGACATATTTGCTTTACCATGAGGGGCTCTATAAACTCTGCATAGGCCCTTCATGTTGGTCAATTTCTTTTTATTTGTATATTTATTGTATCTTATTTAAGACATGTAAAATATTCCAGTTGCCGTGCTGCCCGGAAGGGAGTGATAGATTAGGAAAATGAGTGAAGAAAAGGGGTAGGGAGAGAAATGAAAGAGAAAGAAGGAAAGAGAGAGGGAGGAAAAAAAAACAAAAAAACACGAACAAAGGCGGAGACAACAGTGGGACAGAGAGGCTAAGAAATTAACACATAAGGCACAAAAAAAACAAAAAAAAAACGCATTTGAAATACAACCAAAAAAGGATAAATACAAAGACACAACCAGAAATAAAGAAAATAAAACAGATATACAGACATACAAAATTGCAGGTGCTATTATTATAAGCATCGCCCTGCAGACGCGGACGAGTCGAGCCCCGGCTCTGCTCTCGATTTCCTCTTCTGCGCTGCCTTGGGACAGTTTCTGAGAAACCTGCCTAGCTGAGAAGAAGACCGGCAGTGAGGTCGGAGGCGAGGGGTTCCTGTCGCCGTGACGCCCGTCGCTCACACATGCTCCGCTGTGATGGGGGGGGGGGGGTTGGCAGCCACTGCCCTTGTCCCTGGTGATTTCACGATCTTTGCATCATCACCGGGCTGCCAGTGAGGCAGTGCTTGTGCAATGGAAGGTAGCTTGCTGCCGGTTTTTACCAGTCAGGCCTCCTGTACCACTGAAATGGGGGTTCTGGGTTTGATGGCCCGTCTGGCCAGGAGCGGGCATTGCTGGGCATTTTGGGACCTCCCTGAGGAAAGACCCGGAGCCTCACACCCGCTGGGGTTCCTGAAACATCACACGGCGCTCCGTTGTCCAGGCCGCGGATGTGCCGGCTCAGCATTTGTGTGGCGTATCTGCTGTTTGCGAGTGTGACCCAAGTGGAAGCTGAAACTGAAACCAAACTTATTAATCTGTCTCTTAGCCGTTTAGCCCCCCAGCCCTTCCGCCGAAAAAGCGCCAGTCTGCCCCTTCCCCTACCAGGGTCGCTGTGGTCGCCCCCATGAGTCGGACCACAAGTGGCACCAGCCTTCCTGTCGGCATCAACAAGCAGGTAATGTCCAACCGAATGGGCTCTGTTCTGATTGGCCGGCGGAGGCTCCCACCTGACCCAGTGCCACGTCCCCCAGGATTACGACATCGAGTACCTGCAGCGGCGCTTCTCCGGGGGCAGCCACTCGTTCTGCGGCGAGTCCCCACACCTCTCCCCCTGCAGCAGCATGGGCAAACTCAGCAAGTCCGACGAGCAGCTGTCGTCGCTGGAGCAGGACAGTGGGCAGTGCTCACGCAACACCAGCTGTGAGACCCTGGGTAAGGCTCACCTGCACTCATAATGATCCTGCATGATGTTATCGGCTCTGGCCAGCAGGTGGAGTCATGGTTAAGGTATTGGTCATACGGCTACCAATTGTAGGTTAAAGTCCCAGAAGGAATTCTGTCTCTACTCAGGAAACTGGTACTGTTATTTCCAGTGTAAAAATCCCAAGTTACTAATTAAACTGCAGCTTAATTGGCTCACCTTTTTCTGTTGTTGGATAGTACTCGCTTTCCTTAAAGAAATCAGTTTCATTTTAAAGTGAAATTTTATTTGTTTGAATTGTTTTAAAATATTAAAAAATGTATTCCGCGTAAATGTTATTCTAATTTAAATATTATTATCTACGTCAAATATTATTATCCAATTTAAATGCGTTATTCAAATAACTTTCGACTTGAGAGTTGCAAAGCAGCTGCACACATAACGGACTAATTCTTTTGACTTTCACTTTGGCGTGCGGCGCTCCTGCCCACTGTCATGTTTACACACACGCTGACACCCACCCCCACGCACAAACCCACACACCGCTGTCCCCATGGGGGGGGATGTATATCATCACACCAACAGCACGCTCTCATATGCACACCAGCTGCGATGCTGTGATCTCTCTCTCGCACACACTCTGGGGCCGAGCTGCTTTCATCTCTGAGGGGAGACTGTTGCCCCCCCCCCCCGGCCCTTGGGCCCCGCGGCCTTTGCAGTGTGCCAGACAGAGCTCCGCATGCTGGACCTTGTCAGATGCAGCAGCCTGAGCATGAAGCTGCCCGCCCGCTCCGCATGCTGGACCTTGTCAGATGCAGCAGCCTGAGCATGAAGCTGCCTGAAATGGCCTTACTGGTACCCCACACCTCCTGAAATGGCCTTACTGGTACCCCACACCTCCTGAAATGGCCTTACTGGTGCCAAGCTTCCTTCGTTCCTGCCGCAGTTCCCGGAATATCGCCGCACCTCATCACGCGTTATGGACGCCCTGTTCTCAATAATGCAGACACTTAATGTTTGATTTAGGAGATTTTAAATTCCTCTAGGACGCAGATACACACTTTCCCATTGCCCTGAATTTTTTGGTGTATGATTAATACCTGATATATTTTTAAATACAATGTGAATGAATGGAACTACAGTGGTTAATTGTAGCTTCAGGCCGAGATTAATTACATGGATCTCCCAGAAGAGTAAATAGAGATTTCCTCAGAATAAGGAAGCATTCATTCTTGATAACCGTGGTGAGATATTCTTTTGCCCTGTCGGTATAACCCGATGTACCCCCTCAGTTATAAGGGATCTTGTATTTTGGGGCTGAATAGCACAGAGTTTGTTCATCCGCTTAGCAAGATGAGTTGTTACTTTGTAGCCGGTCATTGGGCTGCTGGGTAACTGCTTGCCCCATGTGGAGTTTTCTGTAGAGCTTCTTCTGACGCGGTGTGCAGACGCCCGCGCTCACTCTGAAAAGGCCATAAGCCGTGAAAGCGCAGTCTGTGCGCGGAAGGCCTGCCAGTACCGGGGGAGGGCGGGGTCACTTCCTTTGAGGAGTGCTGCTCGCTTCTTGGCTCCCCGGTCTACCACAGCGGACCCTGTGTTCCTCCGGAGAGGGGCCGCCCCCTCGTCTCCCGGACTGCGTGCCGTGGATGAATGGGAACCGCACCGCGGGATTCCTGCACCCGTGTAACGGCGGGCAGCAAGATGGGCCGGCCCGAGGCTGGTGATGGTAGCAACTGGATGTACATTGATGTGACCCAGCGAGCCCAAATGGAAAATGTGCGACTTCTCGCTCGGACATTGAATATTTTGTTTGTGTGTGCAGGGGGAAATATTCCTCAACGTTTAAACAATCTGACTTAGCCCGAATTTTCGTAGCATTTATTTAAAAGCTGTAACTAATCATCTGCAAAATTAATAATCATGCGGTGTAACTTAGGTGCGGCAGACTTTTTGATTCAGGTCCGTGGCTGTGATGTGATGTGGAAGCTAAGGGACAGTTATTGAATGGAGTGACAGAACCAGTGATCATTTTTCTGCTCAGGGTCATCTGGAACTGCAGTGAGCTTTGTGTAGGCTAGGTGGCGCCGTGACTTGCCTGACGCTGTTCCCCTCTCACGCAGACAACACGGAGAGCTACGACCCCGACTACGACTTCCTGCACCAGGACTTGTCCAACGCAGAGCACCTCCCAGCGGGGGGGTGCCTGAGTCCCCTGCCAGAGAGCCACAGCGAGTCGCCCCCGCCCGGCTTTGCGCCTCAGGCTCCACAGCTTGGTTACAGCGTCCCACCCAGCCCACAGCTTCCCCTTCAGGGTCCAGGTGGGGGCGCTCCGCCCGCGCTGCCCCAGAAGAAACGTCGTAGCACCTCACAGGCCTCGGGCGCCCTGGACGGCTCGGGGATGCGGGCCTCCTACGAGCGCCACCCATCACACTACGACAACATCTCCGAGGAGGACCTGCAGTCGGTGCCGCCCTTCCCGCTCTTCACGCCCGGCTCGCCCATGCCCCAGAGCAACGGCGGGGGCTACCTGCCCGAATTCATCTCCGGCGAGACCGGCGACATCCCCGAGAGCCCGCCGCCCCTCCCCGAGAAGAAGAGCCGACACAGTGAGTGGTCTGGGAGGGTCATGGGGGTGGCGTGTGTGTGTTGGCGCGGGGAGGAGCATGTGAGGATGTGGGGGGGGCTGCAGGATGTATTACATACACATATATCATGCGCATAAATATAACACCAGCCTTCCAGCAGACAAGGCAAAATGAGGTAAAAGGCTCGGGGGTGGGGCGCGGGGTGTTAGATTAGGGATTAACCCCCTTGGTCAGATACCGAGTGTATTATTTGAAGAAGCCCGGAACCGGACGACAGATTGGGGCTAAATTGTGATATTCGGCCAGGTCTTCTGCCATAGATTCATGGGTGGGGGCAGCCGGAGATTGGGTCTCACAGAATGAAATGTTTGTCTGTGAATTCTGGGAAATGTTTCACTGGTTAGAACACAGGCCTCTCCCAGGCCGAAAGGAAATGACCTCCAGTGTGTGCGGAATGACTCTCCTGCTGCTGGGGGGGAGGGGCGCTGATGTCATCTTCTATTGATGTTTAGGTTTACTAACAATGTAAAACTAGCCTATGGTTATGTAAGTAAGTTAATGGGTACTGAAGGGGGCGGGAGGCTGGTAATCTGGGTGGAGTTAACTTCACGCCATAAATTGCCTGGATGGCAGGATGACTGTGTCGGGTCTCTGAATGGCCGCGCCGACCGTCCCTTCTCACCTCTCCTCTCGCTGCCTCGGCCCACTTCTCCCTGCATTACCTTGCTTCTGTCCCTGCCTCTCCCTATCTCAACCCGCCTTGCCTCACTTCTCCTCATCCTGCCCTACCTCTCCCCACCTCTCCACCTCACCCTGCCTCTCTCCGTCTCTCCCCACCTCTCTCCGTCTCTCAAACCGCCTCTTCGCCTCACCCTGCCTCTCTCCGCCTCACACCGCATCTCCCCGCCTGTCTCCGTGTCTCACACTGCCTCTCTTCGTCCCTCCCTCACACCGCCACTCTTCATCTCTCCCCGCCTCACACCTCATCTCCCTGCCTCTCTCCGTCCCTCCCTCACACCGCCTCTCTCCGTCTCTCCCTCACACCGCATCTCCCCGCCTGTCTCCGTGTCTCACACTGCCTCTCTTCGTCCCTCCCTCACACCGCCACTCTTCATCTCTCCCCGCCTCACACCTCATCTCCCTGCCTCTCTCCGTCTCTCCCCACCTCTCTCCGTCTCTCAAACCGCCTCTTCGCCTCACCCTGCCTCTCTCCGCATCACACCGCATCTCCCCGCCTGTCTCCGTGTCTCACACTGCCTCTCTTCGTCCCTCCCTCACACCGCCACTCTTCATCTCTCCCCGCCTCACACCTCATCTCCCTGCCTCTCTCCGTCTCTCCCCACCTCTCTCCGTCTCTCAAACCGCCTCTTCGCCTCACCCTGCCTCTCTCCGCATCACACCGCATCTCCCCGCCTGTCTCCGTGTCTCACACTGCCTCTCTTCGTCC